ATTTTTTGTCGTGTTTTATTGATTTAAGATAATCTGCACAAATTGCTTTGTCAGTTTGAGCAATTTTTGTGAAGCTCTGGCAGATTTGTAGTCGAAAATGTTAAAAAGTAGTTACTTTTGCAAAAATTTGCTTCATAAATTCACTGTATCTTTGAAATCATGCTAAACAAATTTTTGGTCATATTTTATTGATTTAAAAACATTTGCACAAATTTCTTTGTCAGTTTGAGCAATTTTTGTGAAGCTCTGGCAGATTTGTAGTCGAAAATGTTAAAAAGTAGTTACTTTTGCAAAAATTTGCTTCATAAATTCACTGTATCTTTGAAATCATGCTAAACAAATTTTTGGTCATATTTTATTGATTTAAAAACATTTGCACAAATTGCTTTGTCAGTTTGAGCAATTTCTGTGAAGTTCTGGCAGATTTGTAGTCGAAAATGTTAAAAAGTAGCTACTTTTGCACCAGGTTGCTTCATAAATTCACTTTATCTTTGAAATCATGTTAAACAAATTTTTTGTCATATTTTATTGATTTAAGAACATTTGCACAAATTGCTTTGTCAGTTTGAGCAATTTCTGTGAAGTTCTGGCAGATTTGTAGTCAAAAATGTTAAATAGTAGCTACTTTTGCAGTAGGTTGCTTCATAAATTCACTGTATCTTTGAAATCATGTTAAACAAATTTTTTGTCGTGTTTTATTGATTTAAGATAATCTGCACAAATTGCTTTGTCAGTTTGAGCAATTTTTGTGAAGCTCTGGCAGATTTGTAGTCAAAAATGTTAAATAGTAGCTACTTTTGCAGTAGGTTGTTTCATAAATTCACTTTATCTTTGAAATCATGTTAAACAAATTTTTTGTCATATTTTATTGATTTAAGAACATTTGCACAAATTGCTTTGTCAGTTTGAGCAATTTCTGTGAAGTTCTGGCAGATTCGTAGTCAAAAATGTTAAATAGTAGCTACTTTTGCACCAGGTTGCTTCATAAATTCACTTTATCTTTGAAATCATGTTAAACAAATTTTTTGTCATGTTTTATTGATTTAAGAACATTTGCACAAATTGCTTTGTCAGTTTGAGCAATTTCTGTGAAGTTCTGGCAGATTTGTAGTCAAAAATGTTAAATAGTAGCTACTTTTGCACCAGGTTGCTTCATAAATTCACTTTATCTTTGAAATCATGTTAAACAAATTTTTTGTCATGTTTTATTGATTTAAGAACATTTGCACAAATTGCTTTGTCAGTTTGAGCAATTTCTGTGAAGTTCTGGCAGATTTGTAGTCAAAAATGTTAAATAGTAGCTACTTTTGCAGTAGGTTGCTTCATAAATTCACTGTATCTTTGAAATCATGTTAAACAAATTTTTTGTCATGTTTTATTGATTTAAGATCATTTGCACAAATGAATCTAGCTCATTATTACTAAGTTTTGATATCATTTGGTTCGTTCATATAAAACGTCATGAAGTTTCGATATAATTTTAAAAGCTGCACAATTGTGATCTGAAAAGAGTAAATGTAAAAATATAGTAAGAGTAATAGAAATAAATTATTAATGGATCTCAAAGGGGCAACACTCAGTATTAATCCAAACCCCATTTAAAATTTCTAATCTATACATTGTTATAGAATGGTTAATAACGTTAATTAGTACATCCCAAAAATTTATCAACTTTCGAAAATATTCGAAGTTTTTCCTCTTTCTTATCTACCTTCTTAAGCTAGCAAATGTCACTAATTTTGGACGGAATCTTTATGGTTGCATAAAACGAAAAAAATATGAATAGTTTGGTAATTTGAATTTGAATTTTTTTTTCTCTATTTCATTTAATGAATTTTCAAAAGATCGTGATATTCAAAGAGATCGATATTTTAAGATATTTGATTTTCAAAGTACAAGTTCATGATGGAGGCTATTAAGAATGGAAAATTTATTCTAGAGAATAAAGTCCAATAATCATGGACAATTTCTAGTAAATTTAACAAGACATGCTGTATATAAGTTTTTAACATACTTTTCTTTTCTTAAAGATGATTGGTTATTGTATCTCAGCTATTGTATGATTTAAAAATTAAGGAAATCTATTATAGCTGTAAAAATTACCGATATGGCACAGAGGGCCCGGGCCCCCCCTACGAAAATCTGATAATTGTTTTATTAAGTATTTATAGAGAAGAACCAGTTAATGTAGAGGAAGTGATGAAAGAAATGTCAAAATCAGCACGAAAAATTAAATTAATGTATGAATAATGAATTAAATATTTAAACTTATGAAGAATTAATATAGATTTAAGGATACAAAATAACGGTTTTTTAATTTTCGAAAATGACCCCCCCCCTTAAAATTTTCTGGCTACGCCCCTGGGTTACAGTCAGATATTTGTTTTTGATTAGAACTTGTGACATGTTGTTTTTGATCAATAATGGTCACATATGATTTGCGATCATAACGCACGAGTAATTTAGGGGCTGTTCACTTATTACGTAACGCGAAAAAATGACTTTTTAGACCCCCCCCCCCCCTCGTAACAAAATTTGTATGAAAAAAAAAATTCTTTGTTTGAACCGTAACAAAATCTTAGACCCCCCCTCCCCCCCTAAAAGCGTTACGTAATAAGTGAATGGCCCCTTACGAGATAATGTAATTAAATTTATTAATTGGGAGAGATAGTTTAGGGAAGAATTTGCTTAGAAAACTTCAATGGTAATTGGTATATCCATTGACCAAGAGAAAATCTAAAAAGGATTCTTTGCTTTGTGTATATATTGAAGTTAAAAAGGAAATTTATTTTAAAAACAAGATAGGAGCAACTCAATGAAGAGAAACTTTTTGAGATATCATGGACCAAAAACAACATATAGATACAAAATTTGTTTAAGGAATTAATTAAGAAAGCTATAGATCATCAAGTTAATTAAAGTCGAGTTTATGAAGCACCTGGAGCAAGAAAAGAATCCTTCTAAATTCAGACTTGACTCAATGGTGCTAGAAATACACGAGCTTTTAAAACCGTAAGAGTTTCCGAAAGAAATGCATGCATGCCAAATCTGATTATGAACTATGCACTTCTACTAATTCTAGACTTGACTTTAGTTAAGCTTAATTTCAAGTAATACCAAAAAGAGGCAAATAAATTAAAAGGAATAAAATTTGTGTAAACTTACAGTGAGTTCCCAAATATTTGATCAAGTTAGTAATTCAACCAGACTCTCGAATAAATTTGGATTTTGTTTTAAATATCGCTGCATCATACTGCTTTCCCCGTAATCATGCAATTCTTAAATGAGTTTGATTTAAATTTGACTGTGATACATCATGAAGCTGCGATACAAATTTAAGAGTTTCCCTTTTGTGATCTGAAAAGAGTTATTGAAAAAATATAATAAGAGTAATAAAAATAAATGTTTAGTGGAACTCAAGACAGTTACACTCAGGATTAATCTCAAAAAACCCAAAACCTAGCACTTTCTGACATCAAATTTCGAGCCTATTTTTAATCTTTCCATTGTTGCTAAATGGTCAATAACGTTAATTGAATTATTAACATTTTACTGGACATATGAGTGACATTCGCATTACATTCAGCACATCACAAAAATTTCACGTCCTTCGAAAGTATTTGAAGTTTTTATATTATTGTAACAGCTTAAATACATATTTATGTTCAATGAGTTCATAACTGTCGTGAACTATTTCATAATTGAAGTACAAATTCATGATGCAGGTTATTAAGGATGTAAAATTAAATCCAGAATGGATCAAAGAATTCGATAAACAATCAACTTGATGTCTAGAATGCACGCTTACTATCATCCAGGAACTAAAATTAAGCCAGAATTTAAATCAAGCGCAATGTCATGTGAATTATTTAATTGTTCTGATTCTAATCGCAGTTCCCCCAGCTCAAAAGACTGGTCCCCTCCCACGATTTACCTTTAACTTTTTATAAATTTATTGAAATGCTCTTCTATTTTGCTTGCAATCAAGTGTATTACATGCGATGTGTTAGTATACTTAAAGGAGGAATAGCACAACAAGTGGTGCCCTGGTTATGTATAGAATGTTGAAAAGACTGTTGCATTAAACACAGGCAATAAAAAAGGAAATATTTCTTTAGAGATTCAACTATTGTAGGACTTGAGAATAAATTTATAAAGAAACAGTGATATTGATTCATGTGATCTTAACTCGTTTGAGAGATTCAGCAAAATTAAATCACAGAAAACTTTTGTGAATATACAGCAGCGATAACAAGAAATTACAAAAAGACTTGACTCAAGCAAAAGGTTTTCACCTAGTCAGCTTATAAAGCTCCTAGAGCAAGAAAAGCTTAAACTTATTGCTTAATCGAGAGAATTTTTTAACTTTCAGCGTTTGAATTGCTTTATTATAACTCACAAATTTTTTGCCATTTTATCCTCGTAAGACAAATTCTGAAAGCTGGAGCTGTTCAACTTGTGCTTCAATAATGATCCGATGTAGTTTTGATTCCACAGGAATAATCTGCTCAAGCCATTTTTGAATATGTTTTAGCTATTGAAAAAAAAGTTGTTGAATTTAAGAATTTTTTTTTATCAAATGTTGCTAAGATTTTTTGTTTTTCATTTTTCAATATGAATATTTCAGCTTGTTAATTTGTTAATGGAGGACATACTAAAACGTTCTTTAAAGGTTTTGAAATTTTTGTACAATCGAACAATTGATTCTGAAAGTGAAAAGGTAGTATTTGGACATCCAATAGAGACTTAAAGTAAAGAGAAGAATTTGATATTAGGCGTTTCAAACCGAAATCCTTAAATGTACCTGAAATCATTGAAAAATCTCTGACCTCATCAATCTATAAATAAATCTATTGATGCTAGAAATATTGTTTAGGACTTACACTTCTAATGAATGCTTAGCTTTAATGTAAAAGTCACTCTATGAAAAGTTGTATCAATCTTAGGTTTTAATTTCATGCGGTGTCTTAAAGCTCGTTCCTCAATAAAAAAAATTTAAATTAAACTTTTTTTCATATATTTTATTTTTCAAAACTTTTGAAGAAACATTGACAAAATTTTTTACAAAGTGTTAAATAGTTTTTTCATCCACATATTTTAAAAAAAGTAAATCCGTATCAAACATTTTTAATTTTTCAATAAAAATAATTCTTTTATGTTATTTCTTCTTCTCCTAATCATTGTGTACCAATAAATCTTTAATGCTTTATATTTTAATTATCTTTCTCGTAATTTACTTTTTCTAATAAAAAACTCACATGTTAAAATTTTATTTCTTGTTTAATGATTAATTAATAAGTAATAATAGCAAAAATATCAAATTAAAATAATAATTTCGATCGTGTTGTTCACAATAAATGTTGCTGTGGATTGTGTCTTCATAAAATGTCTCTATATGCTAAATGCCAGCAGCAATTCGAATTGGTATTATTAGTTTATTTTTTGTCAACCTGCATCGTCATCGTTTGTGGTAGCAGATCTGTTCTTGCGTTCTTTCATGGGTTAAGAAAGAAGTTTAGAGATCGGACATACCAGGTCCTAAAAATAGAAAGCAGAAGAAAAGAATAGGAAAATAGAATTATTAAGTGGCAATGTAATAAGTTATAAATAGTCATAACTCTCAATCAATTTGTTAATCATCAAAAGCATAAAAAATCATAAAATTCTGTTGGATATATTTCAACATAAATCAAGGAAACTTCACCTTTAGCATAAAAAAAATTCAGGGATTTAAAAAAAATCTGTTAAAAATTTACAAGATGACAGCATGACACATTGGATATTCATACTGTCATTCAAAGAATATATCTCTTGTGTTGAAAAAAACTACATAAATATGCGATAAATAATGTTGGTGTATGTTAGAATAAAAAGGTGGAGTTTTCTTCTTGAACTTAAAAAAAATTAAATAAAAATGTCACAAAACAAAATTGCTGGCAGTTCCAACAGAAAACATGAAGAATTCGGTTAAGTAAAATATTAAGAAGAATTTATAAAAAGCATGAAAATCCTTGATGATATGAACAGATAAAAAAAATATGAAGTGATATTTTAGTGAGATTTATAATACGAATGTCAGTCAGATTGAAGTCAAAGGTATTTATATTTCAATGTCGTGATTAGAATTAATTAATTGGAATTCAGCAGTTTCTAAAATTATGTAAAATTTATTGGTCATTCACAAATTTAAGAACGTCTTTAAGTGGTACCTTTCCTAGATATATCAATCTCAAGACGCTCTAGTATTAAAACAGAAAAAAAAAAACAATTCAAAAGAACATAACCACAGTGGTTAGTTCTTATATTTTGCAACCTTTAGTGGGTTCGAGATTCAAGTTTTGTTGCTTTCTTTATTAAATTTTTCTAAGAGCCACTTTGCAAAGCCAACACACAATTGTGTTGGGAGCGTTACAAATGACCAATTGTTTGTAATAGAACATATGAAAATCCAGCTACTGATCGGAATTGAATCCATTTTTTTGTGCAAATTGCGAATACTAGAGGCTGTTCTATGTCATAGCTGAGAACACAAAATTATTTTTTTCACATTGCTAAAATTGACATTTCAAAGCTGCTTGATTCCTTTTAGCTACGACAAGTTCATAGTAGAGAACGAAACATAAATAACTTGGATAACAATCCTTTATGAAACAATAACAAAACGAATTAAACTACAGATGAAAAAATACAATGAAACACAATAAAATAAAAGTTTTTAATTGTCAAAAACTGAACACGAACAAATAAAATTGTTATGTATATGATTGAGCATGAATACCTTCTGATCATCATTGACAATTTCTCATTCAATTTTTTTTCTAAATGCAATTTTTTTTTTCTTTCATTCGCTTCCTAATATTTTTTCGTTATTTCCTTTCATTTAATTGAATTTTGATTACAAATATTTTTTTGAGAGATTTTTAAAGGTTTAGTTCCAATAAAATTTGATGTAAGTTTGATTGAATTTCTTTCGTTAAATGCGTACAAGACGTGATCATGATATGATGAAAGAAAAAAAGAATGAGAGATATCAGCTATTATGGAGTTTTAATTTTTTTTTTGATGTTCATCATGCGCGAAACTCATGTATTAGCAGCAGCCTTTTGTCGTTCTTGATGATTATGATGAATGCTTGTAATTCTATTTTCCCCAGACATTGGTTCCGTAGACATAGAACGAATGGATGGTGAACGACTATGAATGGGCTCGGGCGATTCTGATTCTCTTACTTCGGATAGCCGAGCCAAGTCTTTATTAATACTTTTAGAACTTAAGATTCGTGGACACCTTGCAGACCATAGTTTTTTATTTGTATTACACTGTTGATCCTGCAAGTTTCGAAAGGCTTTTGATTGGATTAAGGTTATGTCACTAAAGTCTTCAGCACTTTGAGAATTATTCAGTTCCTTTGTTTGCCAGCTATCATAATATTCTGTATATGAGCTATTATTTCGGAATTCCTGTGGTGTCAAAGCTGGTGTAGAATCTACAGTCGGTACTGTCGATTCATCAGCTGAACTAAATGTTCCATTTGATTCAATATCATCCTGTAAAATTTTTACTGCTGCAGCATGAAGTTTTTCTATAGGTAAGTCACGGAACATTTTTCCACGTTTTTGATTCAAAAGACTTTGAACTAATTCATTAACAAGTTTCTCGTTAATTGTACCAGGCGTTGGAGAAGGTGTTGTAGATGATGACATACTTTCTGCACCAGATGATGACTGATGTGTCAATGGTAAACATAATCTTTGTCTACGTTCTTCCATACTTTCTGCCTGCAATGCTGCTTGAGGATTTTGTCGTCGTGTAGCAGAAACGTTATGGACAATTTTCTTCGATTTGTATGGAATTCTTGTAGGTTCCTTGACAGCCTCGTCTGGAGACTCTGGTTTTTCTGGAATATCATCATCACCTTGTAAAAGTTTATATAATCTAGAATGAGTTGATGCTCTTTCATATCGACTTAGCTTCCTTAATTCTGGGAAATTCTCTGAATCAGTCTCATTCTCTGAATGATGCTTACAGAAATCTGATGTGACACCTGAATCTTCTTCACCAGACTCTTCAATAGATCGTACAAGTGGCGACAACATGGCTTTAGTATTTCCATAACGACGATAATTTTCACGCTTCTCATTTGCGATTGAATCATTTGTTCCTGTCTCATATGATGAAATTTTCTCTTTAACTGATTTTTGTTGGAGATTATCATCATTTGTAGGTGGTGGCGTGAATGATTTGCGTTGATTAATGAGATCAATGAGGTTTTGGTTTTTCTTTACCTCCTTCACTTCACTAACTGCACGTTTGCTATAAGTTTTGCTATCAATATTTCTCACATTTGGTACTGTGAGCTGAGATGGTGGTTCTGATGTCTCACGATGTCTAAAATTATATTTAGAAGTGACTTTTGGAATATCCTTAGGTCGCTCGATTGTCCTCTCTTCTGACATAGCGCGTTCAAACATTGAAATCCTTCCCTTAACATTTACTTTAATATCATTTGGTTTTTCGTAAGATTGTTCGTCGAATGTAATTAATTGAGGTAGATTTTTTGGAGTCTTTCCATCATTTTGAAGATTGATTTTTATTTTATTCTTACTATTATTCATAACATTTTCATCCTCTGAATCCTCTTCATATCCATCTTCGGAATCTGGATCATTATTTTCAAACGATATGCCTGATTCAGATGTCATGTTTGATTTGGAATCAACGGAATGAATTTCTTTTAAATTAGATAGTAATACTTTGTTATTATCATTATCAATAATATTGTTACTGTTTTCATCATACGAAATCATATGTTCGGTTAGTATGTCACGGCAGTCATCATTGGAATGTGAATTAATATTATTTGAACTACTACGGTTTATTGGCAGTGGTTGTTCAGATTCTTTTAATTTTTCATTAAATCTGTCATCATCTTTCTTATCCTCTTCCTCACTTTCGTCCTCGGTCTCACTTGATTCAACTTCATATTCTATCTTCTCTTTCATTTCTTTAATAACTTCCTTATCACTTTCAGATTTGATGAATGAATTTACATTAACCAATGATTTGCCTTTAAGTATTCGACTTGGTGAATTAGCTACTGAGTTTGTAGTTTGTACTATTTGTTGTGTTTTGAGGTAAACGTTTTCATTTTCAAAGTCCTCGCTCTCATCCTCGCTTTCGCTGTCACTTGATTGATCTTTGTTAACCTTTTTGTTTTCAACGACATTTATTTCTTCAGTCATACTAATTATTCTTAATTCTGCTGGTTTATTCTCTTGTTTTGGTTCCATTAATTTTGCAATACCTATATCTATGAATTTTTCATTAAATGTGCTAGTTCTTTGAGGTTCCAAAATTTCTTCTGCTTCTTCCGATTCTTCATATTCAGATTCAATATCAATTTTCTGTTCATCTGTGCTTATTAATGCTAAAGAATTTTTGGCTTCTAATTTTGGCTCAATTTTAATTTCTAGAACATTATTATTCATATTTTCGTCATCAGTTACTTCGACTTCTTCCTCTGTCCATTCCTCATCGCTATCAAGCTCATCATTTTCATAAATTTGCTCTTTGCTTTCTTGTGTTTTTGAAGCCATCTGAATTGTGTTCTTAACATTCTCTGGCTCATTACAATCAGACACTTTGTTAATTTGATCAAATGCTTTACACGATTCGGTATCGCTGTCATCATCATACTCAGATTTATTTTCCCAGATTTTTGAATATGGTGTTCCTGGTCGTTTAGTATGCTCAATACTATCTTGTTCATCATCAATGCTTTCACTAATTTCTTCAATGACTTCTAAATTTTGCTTTGGTTTATCCATAGACTCTTGCATTGTTTCTGCATATCTTTGATAGTCCATTGGTTCATCTAAGCTCAAAACCTTAACTTCTTCTTGATTTTCTTCGTCATAGTTACTATAGCTGCTGAATGTATTAATTGTATTTTTTTTCGATTCAATAATTTTCTGTTCCTTTAAACTATCTTCGTTGTCCTCTTCAGGTTGAATAGGATCCTCATAAATCGACATTTCATCCATTTGATCTCCTTCATCATCTTTCATTTGTGATTCAAAGAATTTCTTAGCTTTTGTTCCATAGTCAGCATCCTCGTCATAGTTCTGCCAAAAGTCAAATTCATTGTGTTCAATTTCTTCATTCTCAACTGTAGCTGCATCATTTATGCTCACAAATGATACGGACGTTGTTATATCATTGGTTTCATATTTAGCAAATGCATCATCTTTTGGTGGATCCAATCCATCATCCGTTTCTAATTCAAACCAATATCTGCTAGAGTGTGTTGATGTCTTTGATAATTTGTAGTCATTATCTTGATTCTTTTCACCAATTTGACTCCAAAAATCGACATCTTCTTCTTCTGTTTGTGTATCCTGAGAGTCTTGAAGAGTTTCTGCAGGAATCGGTGATTGCTCTTTTGAGACTTTCGTTGGGGTAAGAATTTCAATAATTTTTGGTTCAAATGTTTCATTCTCAACTTTATTGTCCTTATTGTAATAACTTGTCTGTTCCTTATAATTGATGTCTCTTAAGTCTTCTCTATCATCTGTGTTTGTCTCTAAAGGATTCATAAGTAATTCTTGAAGGTTTCTAGAAACTTTTCGAAGTATTTCAGGAACATCATTGACGTTTATAGGCGCGTCACGGGATTTTATTGGACTTTCACGACAATCATCTAAGTCAATAAGTTGAACATCATTCTCTGGCTCATTAGACAGTTCATCACTATTATTATTGCTATTTTCACTCTGTATATCCTCATTTTCATCATCTGATTCAATGCTATCAATATAACTTATGCTCCCGCTTCTAAATCTCTCATGTTCAGGAATATTAATGGCACTTTTGCGTAATGTACAAATTTTACTGAATAATGAGTTAGTAATTTCAGCCATTCCCTTTTTAATTTCTTCAAGTGCATCTAGAGATGTGTACAGACTATTGTCAATGTGAACTTTATTGTCTGATGAATTTTCTGATACTTCTTTGAGACTTTGAGAGTTTTCAGACGTTTCAGAATCTCTACGAAGTCGTATGGGAAATTCCTCAATTTCAATAGATCTTGATTTTCTTCTTGGCAACGAAATATTAACAGAACATGCACTGTCTTCTTTTTCCGCAATACTATTACACTTAATGGTGGATAGTGTGGGAGGAAGTAATCGCTCTGGCGTTTTGCTTTTACTTTTTGATTTTAGACTGAATGTTACTGAAATGTCATTTGCTGAGCTGTTATTTGATAAAGAATGTGAATGTGAATTGGCAATTGGCATTGGTGATTGCGATTTTTCGGGTATATTTTCTTGAATTTCAGTGACTTCGCTCTCACTTTCACCGACAGTCAATGTTGTATTTACCATATTATCTTTACTTCTAGTAAATGAGAATTTCAAAGGCAATCGGACTGTGACAGAATTGGAATTTTCTTCTTCCATTTCATCCCCACTTTGATCAATACTGATATTATCATCTTCCATAAGTGTTGTGGAGCAGTCACTCAATGTAGAGCTTCTACTACAGATACTTGATCTCCGTTCATTGGCAGCTGCACTTTCATTTTCCTCATATATTATACTTAATTGATGTGGAAAATGAATTTCAACTGTCTCTGTATCTTGACTTATTTCTTCTTCAACTTCTGTTGTATCATCACTAGTCACACTAACATCATCGTCTTCATCACATGTTGTGACGATTGGCTTTGCTTGCAATTCTTCCAACTCACATTCATCATTATACATGTTCATATTAGTAACAGATGGAATTGATTTAATACTTCCTCGTCTTTGAATATCATATGATAGTGGATAATCAACATGTTGATTTTCATGCATTTCTTTCTTAATTTCAGGCGGTTCCGGTAAATCACTAATTAATATTGGATTTTCACTTTGTACTGAAACAGATCGTGTTAATGGCTCCTCCAATGTATGAAATTTGTTGCTTAAATTTTCTACTTGAAATGATTTTGCATGTTGGCAACACGTTGGTGTACAACTCACAGCCCTTCTGCTTCTATCATCGCTTGCTGTTGACATATTTTGGTATCGTTCAGCTTCTGAGAAACATGGTGTGGTCTCCCTTGATGCTGATATTGGTCGAAATCCCATATAAGGAGGTAGAATAAAGACTGGTTGATATGGAGGATAAAAGTATGGCATTGGCGTAGGAACACCACTTTGTTGTTGACTTTGTGACATTTGCGAGGGTTGAGGTGTCTGACTTCGTGAATGACTTGGCATAGGTGGAGGTGGCATATAACCGAAGTAATTAGGATCATAGCCCATTTGATAGTAATATGCAGCCCAAGGATTATTTTGTGGGTCATACCAATCATAAAGGGCAGCATATTGAGGTGGCATCATATATGGCGGATACATTTGTGGCGTTTGGGGGACTGTACAATGATAGGTATTATTTGGTAGATTATTGTGACAATTTTGACAATTAAATGGATAACTATTACAACTATGATAATTGTTATAGAAATTATTACCAATCTTCGAATAGGAATTACCTTCAATGTCTGAGTTATCATTAAAATTATCGTCTACAAAAGTGAGAAAATAACGAGATGGAGAAAAATGAATTTTTAAATTTTTTTTCGTTTAACTTTTTTCCTATTCTACTTTAACAATTTTATTTTATTTTAATCCGAATGGATTAACTTCATCCTCATGACATTTATCATTAAATTTATTTTAAATTTTTATTCAATTTAAAAACTAATGATAAGTGATATTGCGTTATTGTTATAAAACTTAACTTTTTTTGGGATCAAACTGAAGCAAAAAAAAAAATCATATAGCAGTAAAGGTAATTTTGATTTGTTTTAAGTGAGCATTAATAAATTTGTTAATTTGCATTTAGCACAAGCGAATGTTCATGTGTGTTGTCTTAAATTCTCAAACCTAGGTCTAGACTCTCTAGGCAAGATGCAACTACAATGAACAGTCACCATGCCAAATTATTTTTCATCTCTAATTTTTGAAATGCTCCTCCTTCCTTTCCATCTTTTCAAATATTTAATCGCAAAGACTTTGAACATTTTTTTATGGATTCTTTCAACACAAGTAATTATTCTTTCAATTTTTTGAGTCACTAGAGTCATTTAATAGATTTTTAAAATACATTTTTCATCATTTTAGTTTGACTTACCGGCATTTTCAGGCTGGACTTGATGCATTTTAAAAGAACGACTAGGCATTGCATTACTTTGATATAATCCTTGATCGCGCGCTTGCATGTCAATGGCTTCATCTAAAATGATTTTGAATAAATTTAAAATGAATAATTTTGAATTCTAAAGTTTGATGATGAAGTATCCAAAAATGTCAAAATAAAGCTTGAACTCATACCTTGCACATTTCTCTGAGCTTTACGTCCCGCTGGAGCTAAAATATTTCAATCAATTACTTTCAAAGAAAATTCAAGATTAAAAACAAAAGTGAACAAAAAACATATTATTGTCCTTTCAAGTCTAATTCAGAAGACACTAGTTTAACCAATTTTAGTTGGCGTATTTATTCAATATCAAATGAAGAATATGTTATTAATTACAATCAGAAAATTAAAAAAAAAACATTGAAAAATGCAAAAAAATTACAAAAGTCCTCGTGTTATTGATCGAGGGACTTCAGCGCGTTTTTGTGTCAGCAATCAGTATTTATTATATATAACTGTGAGTCAATAAGCAAATAGCTTTGTCTAGATTGCCTTTAGCAAAGCTTTCTTGTTGTATTTTACAAATATTATTCATTGGGTTCATTTCCGAACAGCCAAACAAAGTGAGTTATTAAACTATCTTTTTTAAAAAAGTTTTAAAAATGCGCTTAAAAAAATAATTAAAGCGAAAAAAAATTATTAGAGTTATTTCATTAATGAACAATTCAACTAGGGTCGCTCACTTATGACATTCAAAAACTGCAAAAAAATTAATATAGACTTGTTTCAATTTTTAAAATCAAAACTCTACAAATCTATTTTCTGATGAGACTTGAATCAATTTCGATAATTCCTTTAAAAAAATTAGGTTTAACATTTAACATTAGGTTTAACAATTAGGTCTAACATGATTTCATGGAAATTTGCATAGAATTATTAATTCATTCATCAGAAAATTTCAAAACTATATGGAATTTATAATACATCAAAATGATTTAAGCTGTTTAGGTCCACTACTTTCAGTTTTTGATATCATAAGTAAGCGAGACAATTAAAATTATGTTTGACATTCATATTAGTCAAAATCTTAGTTCAAATCAAATCAGCTGCAACAGAAGCTTATTAATTATTAAATATTAATGTTTCTTCCGAAATAATTGAAGAATTTTAAAAATTCGATACAAAAATAGAACCCCAAGAATGAAGGATTCACACTTAAAACATTGTTTCATTTATTCAATTCAATGTTCAGAAAAGACATTAAGAAAATTTATTTTTTTTACCAGCATGTGCATTGTTTTCGTTATTGTTAAAGCTATGCGAACCATCAGTCATTTTTTGTAAGCATTTAAAAGCTTTCGATGGTATAGCGGAGCCTCTATATCGTGGATCACTTTCGGAATGAAGAAAAACTTCTTCATCAACTAGTTATATAGCAAAATATTCTAAGATTAATGATCTATCTGTTAATTAGCAATAAGCAAAAAAAAAACACTTACCTTGTGTTTTAACACGATTCATAAATGCTCTATCATTTTCAGATAATTGCATGCGTTTTAATTGACTCTCATTCATATCATTAGGTCCTAATGTACGAGAGAAAATTGGTCTTTGTTCTTGCATTGGCATTGATTCTTCATCATCGTCTTTGTTATTTTTAAGCTTACTTTCATTGCTGTTGTCATCTGACTCATCTCCCAATGTTCCAGTTACTTGTTGAAGAATTTTAAAGGAACGCGATTGCGTTGGTCCACCAGCAATTACTCTTGGACTTGCTGGTGATCGAGGATCACTGGAATTAAATATATCTATTTAGTATTCTTAGACTTCAAAGTAAATTAAACTTGAAGTTAGAACAAATGGAAGTGGTTTCGAAGTGATTTAATTAGCACTTAGTAATGAAGTGTTCTCAGAGTCGTTTATAAATGACATCAATCGAAATAAACAAGAGGACCAATTAATAAGCTATACACCTGCGAGAGAAGATTAATGGGAGTGCCCTGCACTCTTAGTCGTCATAAGCGAGATTTTCGACTCCGAGTCGAAGCGACTCCATACAAAATTTTATCGTCTTCGAGCTCTGGTTATAAGCAGTGTTGCATTTTGGCCATTTGTCTAGATCAGATAAATTCTGAGACAGAAATTTCTTCATAAAGATCGATTCTATATGAAGATAGAAAATCTAATCTACATAAAGATTCTGTCTACATAAAGATTCGATCTTTATGAAGAAAGTTTCTTAGCTAGACAAAAACTATTGAAGAATCTGAATTCTTCATCTAGTGTAGACATCTACATTTGCAACACTGGTTATAAGTAAACGATTCGTTATGAAGAACTGCTAAATGATGATGAATTTGATAACATTCATCTACATTTATTTTTCTCTACCTTAGTTTACTCATTTTATACTTTAAAAGAGCTTCAAGTGGAACGTTGTGGATTGTATATTTATAATTTCCACTTTCACTGACAATTTTAGATCATTAATATAATTTATTTCTGTCATTAATTAATAGCATTTAATAATTTTTATCTCACCTTTGAATAACGATCGTATTCTCATTTGGCTGTGTACCTTCAACTTGAATAGGAATAATTCTCGTGCCAGCTGGTTGTTGTGGCCTTTGAATAAAAGACCTTGCTGACTGCTGTTGTGGATAATCGATATTGTTATAGCCTTGATTCACAAACTTGTTAGCATTTGGATCTTTTGCATGGAAGAAAATGGCACTTTGATTTTTTCTGAATTTTCTGAATATTTTTCTGAATATTTTTTATTCAATAAACTTACCAACTTTAGGTGTTATGACTGAATTTATGTGATGCTGTGGTGTACCATAAAATGGAGTTGGACCAAAGTTTGGCATTGCTGAAGCCAATGTTGGCGACTTTTCAAAAGAAATTGGTATAACGTGTTCTTTAGGACCTGTTGCTAATTGTTGCGGCATGCTTATATTGCGGCTTTGTTGAAATAAATTATCAACTTCATCTCTATTAACCCATTCGGGTGTATCAAGTGACATTTGCTTAGTAGACATCCATGGGGGACTTAATTGATTTAATAGTTGTTGCTTATCATCGATGTTTGGTGGTGGGATATAGAGCGAACCCAACTGTTTAAAAGAAAATTTACATTAGTTGACATAAATACTGGAAGTTTCATATCTTACAGGTTGTGTTGCCTGTTGTTGCTGCTGCTGCGGACGATTTGGCATTGTGCTTAAAATGATTTTTCTGCCACCTTGTGGTTGCTGTATTGGTTGTTGATAATTTTGAACAGGCGGTTGATAATTCTGAGCTTGTTTATTAAAATTGTTTTGCTGAATTGGTTCAAAAATGACATTTTTTACGGTCACTGGTGATGATGATGATGAAATTTGTGACTGTTGTTGCTGTTGTGTGACTGGAGATGATCGATTTATTTGAACGAGCGTCGGACTTGAGCGATGTTCTTCTAATTTCAAATTACGAATCGGAATATTCACTTCCTTTTGATCTTTTGGACTTGGAGATCTTCTTTGCGAAAATTGAGGAACTGTAGATTGTGGTGTTGTTGGCTTTGCAGGCTGATAATTCTGAATATTTTGAATAATTGGTGATGAAGGTTTTGGTGGGATGAATTCTGGTGGTGATGGCTGTTGATATTGCTGAATTGTTGGACTAGAAATATATTGTCTTATTTCCTCTTCGTTAGGTGCTGAATTTCTAGCTCTATCTTCTACATATTCTTGAATCCAATATTCGTCTTTCTGTTGAGGTCTTGGAACTTTCCGTAAAATAGCCATTGGATTTTCTGGAATCTTAATTTCTGGCCTGCATGCCATCGGAGGTGGATCAAATGACTGAGGCGATTTCTTTGCTGTTCCATTAGTTTGTGGCTTATTAAATTGTTGTGTCTTTGTTGGTATTGGTGGTGGAGGTGGGCCAGTTGGAAATACTTGGAACGGCATACCCATTGCTAATGATCCCATTGAGGATGGGGGTGGAGGTGGAGGGGGTATTCCAGCTGATTGTGGTGTTTTTGGAGTCTGAATCAACGGAGAATTATTTCCATTATTATTTAACTGAGCTAAAGGTGAAACTTTCGGAGTATTTGTTATTCCTGGACTATTTGCATTTGCGGATATTCCTGTAAAAATCATGGATTAAATGATTGTTTATAGTACAAACTTGAAAACTTACTTTTCGCCATTCTTGGCGATTTAATTTGTGATAAATCTATTCCGCCTGGAGTATATGTAAATGGTTTTTTATCCTTTGTCATCATAGCATTTTGAACGCATGCTGGAGCTTCAGATATCTGTGTTTGCAGTCGTTGTGCTGGGACATTTCCGGGAATTGGTGGTGGAGGTGGAACGCTGTAAATAAGAAATAAAATATGGATGAAAATTGTGTCATGGGAAATCGATTAATTGATATTCATTAATTTAATGTTTCTGATTTTTGGCCTGAATTTCTCAATGACTTTTTTGTATAAAGTAAAATTATTTTTCTTCAAAAACACTGCATGATGAATGAGGAAGTTAAAAATGCGTGGAGCAGATGTCATTGAAAAAAAAAAACTGGGTGGTTCTTGTGAGTAAAAGAAAAATTTGTGCCAAGTAATTATTGGGAAAATTGAAAATTAATGTTTTTTTTCTCGTCTGGTGCTAACAATGTGAAAAAAAACAGACACAAGAGAAAGGATTTTAAAGTTACGAACAATCTTGACCCATTTTTAAGGCTCGTGAAAAATTTTTTTGGCGCAAATCACCATGTTATCTATTTCTGTACTATAAAGTGAAAATTGATATGTTATAGAGGAGCCATATGCGTTCTAAATTATTATTCATATGCTTTGTGTTATTGACAATGTTTTTCAACCGTCACTAAGTCATTTAGAGCATTTAAAGATTAGATAATATTTGCAGTCTCACATGTTTCACCTTGTAAAGCAAACCAGACACATCAATTTGTTTGTTTAGTGTTAAATACTGTTTATTATCTCGCTCCTGTCATTTACAATAGCAGTCGCGACGTAATTGCTCAATATTTAAGCTCATACGGCTTTTAGCATTTGAATTCATTTTTAATTTATGTAAAAATTTAATTAAGGAATTACACTTAATCCATTTCACTATGGGCCAGAAATGGAAAATTTTTCCAAAAATTATTTCTACAGCTTATATGATAGTTCTTATTATGCCCTACATTTACGTCCTTAAAACTTTGCTCAAGTCGACAGCATGTCCGAGATATGGCACTTCAAAGTTGGTCAGACGACCATTTTCACGTTACATTGAAAATGCTCTCACCAGATACTGGATAGATGAATCTCCTTCAAATTTTTTTTGTTAATAGCTTTAAATCGTTACTTTGTTTTAAGATATAAACAATTGCAAATAACTTTGAAAAATTTTGTGAAAAACTAGATTTTTCTCAAAAACCACGTGTTCGTCATACTTTCGTTTGTGTAGGTCTTCACAAGCACAACCAAAGTTACTAATTTCTTTTTTATATTAAAGATTACATCAAAAGCTATAACTTTTGCATACATGTCGTATAATTTTAACAAAGTTTTGATAGTGAAAAAAAAATTTTTTATAAAAAAAACAACAATTTTTTGACAAAAATCGCTGTAGTGCTTCAGGGATACCCATGGTAGTGGAATTTTATTTCACATTTAGAAAGCTCTCTAGATATGCTATCAATTAATGCAATAAAATGAACAAGTGTTCTCTTGGCAAAGAGCACTTTTTTGACTCTGAAAGTCGTATGTCGAGCAAGGTCAAAAAAGAAAAATAATCATAAAAATTTCAGTTTTAAATAAAATTTAATTTTTTTAATTTAGATTGATAGATCTTTTTAAAACGCGTCTTTTGAGTATAAATATGTTATAGTTTTGTCAAGTTTCGTGATCATTTTTTTAAAAAAATAGTTTTTTTCAAAAAAAAAAATTGAAAAATAAAGTATTTGACTTTAGAATTTTATAAAATGCATCTTTTTGTCATTTTTTTCACTACTTTGTCTAGTTTTGCTCCTAGTTTTTTTCCTAAACATAAATCAATAAGAACTTAGCATAATTGAAGCCATTTGGAGGTTAAATTGAGTTAAAAATCGTTTAAAATTTTTGTATTTCTCAAATAGTTCTTTACACAAGTATCTAAGATATAAAGTGTTGCATAGTTTTGAAAAGGTATTGAAATTTCCAATATGTTAACATGAAAAGTTTAGGAAAATTTTCAAGTAATATAGTCAATTTGGGTAAAAAACGCATTTTATATATGCTAGTTTTTAATGTTTTTCGTTTTTCTCAGCAAAGACTTTATGAAAAACTCTCAAAGTTTGCACTTTTATTTGTTATATAAATGTTAATGACTCGTAAAAGTTTTGGAATTTTCCATTGAGTTTTTCATTAGTTCTCCTAATCTGAAATTTTCACTATTAAATTTTCGTTTTTCTCAACAATTGCGATTTTTTATTTATAAATAAATATCTTATTTTGTTTCATTTTTCAATATCTTTTCATTGATATGTAACAATCTACAAAAAAATTAAGACTAAAGAGAAATGAATAAAAAAGTGTCAAAAATGTATGAAAATTCTACGCTATTTTAATTTTTTAAGCCTTTTATGGTTAATTTTACTAAGTTTTATAAGAGTGTTATACCTTTTTTTGCAAATGTATAGCGAGACAAAAGACAGTTCCATATGAAGAAAACCAGATATTAGTTTTAATGCTATTTAAGCTATAATATTAAGCTTTTTCATTTACTTTTGTTATAAATGTTTCATGTAATTAATAGCAGCCTGAAGATATAATTTAAAGCTTTTAAATAATTTAATTTTAATAAATTCAAAATTTTTGGTTGTCGCCAACTTGAAGCTTATTTGACTTCAGTTGTGCTTAGCGTAGACTCATACGAATTTTGGTGGATGAACGTCTTAAGCTATACATTTGCAAAAAAAGGTATAACACTCTTATAAAACTTAGTAAAATTAACCATAAAAGGCTTAAAAAATTAAAATAGCGTAGAATTTTCATACATTTTTGACACTTTTTTATTCATTTCTCTTTAGTCTTAATTTTTTTGTAGATTGTTACATATCAATGAAAAGATATTGAAAAATGAAACAAAATAAGATATTTATTTATAAATAAAAAATCGCAATTGTTGAGAAAAACGAAAATTTAATAGTGAAAATTTCAGATTAGGAGAACTAATGAAAAACTCAATGGAAAATTCCAAAACTTTTACGAGTCATTAACATTTATATAACAAATAAAAGTGCAAACTTTGAGAGTTTTTCATAAAGTCTTTGCTGAGAAAAACGAAAAACATTAAAAACTAGCATATATAAAATGCGTTTTTTACCCAAATTGACTATATTACTTGAAAATTTTCCTAAACTTTTCATGTTAACATATTGGAAATTTCAATACCTTTTCAAAACTATGCAACACTTTATATCTTAGATACTTGTGTAAAGAACTATTTGAGAAATACAAAAATTTTAAACGATTTTTAACTCAATTTAACCTCCAAATGGCTTCAATTATGCTAAGTTCTTATTGATTTATGTTTAGGAAAAAAACTAGGAGCAAAACTAGACAAAGTAGTGAAAAAAATGACAAAAAGATGCATTTTATAAAATTCTAAAGTCAAATACTTTATTTTTCAATTTTTTTTTTGAAAAAAACTATTTTTTTAAAAAAATGATCACGAAACTTGACAAAACTATAACATATTTATACTCAAAAGACGCGTTTTAAAAAGATCTATCAATCTAAATTAAAAAAATTAAATTTTATTTAAAACTGAAATTTTTATGATTATTTTTCTTTTTTGACCTTGCTCGACATACGACTTTCAGAGTCAAAAAAGTGCTCTTTGCCAAGAGAACACTTGTTCATTTTATTGCATTAATTGATAGCATATCTAGAGAGCTTTCTAAATGTGAAATAAAATTCCACTACCATGGGTATCCCTGAAGCACTACAGCGATTTTTGTCAAAAAATTGTTGTTTTTTTTATAAAAAATTTTTTTTTCACTATCAAAACTTTGTTAAAATTATACGACATGTATGCAAAAGTTATAGCTTTTGATGTAATCTTTAATATAAAAAAGAAATTAGTAACTTTGGTTGTGCTTGTGAAGACCTACACAAACGAAAGTATGACGAACACGTGGTTTTTGAGAAAAATCTAGTTTTTCACAAAATTTTTCAAAGTTATTTGCAATTGTTTATATCTTAAAACAAAGTAACGATTTAAAGCTATTAACAAAAAAAATTTGAAGGAGATTCATCTATCCAGTATCTGGTGAGAGCATTTTCAATGTAACGTGAAAATGGTCGTCTGACCAACTTTGAAGTGCCATATCTCGGACATGCTGTCGACTTGAGCAAAGTTTTAAGGACGTAAATGTAGGGCATAATAAGAACTATCATATAAGCTGTAGAAATAATTTTTGGAAAAATTTTCCATTTCTGGCCCATAGTGCATTTATTGGGTTCGTTCACTTATTTCATTTGCACTTGTAGGAAGTGGTTGGTGAGTCGAGAAGCCAAATAAGAATTTGATAAAATATTAAAATTTAAATAAAGAATTGAGCAATAACTTTGATTGATAAATGAGGAAATAAGCAGGAATTATTACAATGCAATCAGTTCCTTAATATAAATGAAACTCTATCATATCATCCTTTATTATCTCCAAATCATTTCGGCTCTCTGGATGGTGAAATTAAATTTCAATCATTTTTTATTCCAGAAAATACAAAATGCATAAATTGACATACAAAATAAAGCAATAAACACAGCACTTAAAGTAATATGCAGTAATAATTTAAGTAATTTTGTGATATTCAACATGAAGTGATGACAAATGGGAGACGATTATGTGGACACAGGGTATAAATTATATCATGCAGACATAATTTTTCTCATCCTGACACAAATATTGTTTTACTGCATTTAAATTGTCTTCTGAAGACAAAAAACAATTTCTTTTTGTTTGTTGCTATTTTCTTCATATTCTAGACTCTAACATTTTTTTTATTATGCTTTTAACGCCTTTAATGTTTGGCACCGATTCAAAAATTATAATTTGCCCATTTTTCTAATCTCTTGGGGTTATTAGTACAAATTAATTGAGTTAATTTCGTTAAAGTCTGCTATCTTTATTTGACAGAAACTCGCATTTTACGATTTTGAATGTAGTTATGAATCAATCAACTGATGGCCTTCAAAATAAATAATTTAAGGATATTAAAAAATAAACTTGATGAATAAAATAGTTAAAAAACCCAATTTATTTAAAAACCAAGCTATTGATTTTACATCCTTGAAAATTTCTTCACTTATGATGTTGTTCCG